TAAGGGTACCAGACATGCACGTAGAACACAAACATACATGAAGGCAAAAACACTCATGCATAAAATTCATCCAAATTTATTTTAATGCCTATTTGTTTGGCTGGTTTGGTTGTTGTGTTTTTTGAGAATGATAGCCCAGGCTAGCCTCAAACTTGCAGTACTCCTCCTGCCTCAGTCTCGTGCTAGGATTACAAGTGTGTACCACCAGGGATAGCTAAGAATAATAGTCCTTTCAATTCGATGTTTATTTTTCTATATTGTTGGTAAATTAAATATTGATGTTCCCCAGACAGTGGTGGCGCATGCCTTTAATCCCAGCACTTGGGAGGCAGAGGCAGGCGGATTTCTGAGTTTGAGGCCAGCCTGGTCTACAGAGTGAGTTCCAGGACAGCCAGGGCTACACAGAGAAACCCGGTCTCAAAAACAAAAACAAAAAAATATTGAAATTCCCTTCTAGACAGTGAGAGCCTGTGTGTGTGTATATGTGTGTGTCTGTGTCTTTGTGTGTGTGTCTGTGTGTGTGTGTATGTCTGTGTGTGTGTGTCTGTGTGTCTGTGTGTGGGGGGGGTGTTTAACCGTGTTCATTTTTCAATTCACACAATTGAAGGAACCACTCTGCCATACTGGTGGCATAGGCTATCTTGAATATTTTGGCCAAGTTTTCATTCCTTCGATGGAAATAAAATGAAGAGGAAATGAGTAACTTTTTCTTTCTGCCTATATAACTTTTTCTTTTTTAAATCAAATTTCTACATGAATTTTCTCTGGAGTCAATATTCCCTTTGTAAAGCTTCAGCTGGTCTTGTAGGTGGTCTCTCTCCTAAGATGCAGTTTCATTTTATAACTGCGTGCCTTGGCCCCATGCCCGACTTCCCAGGTTACGGACGTTAGCAGTAGACCCCACTCATTAAGGAAATAACACCTCCCTCCAAAACAACCCCTAGAAAACATCACTAATGTTCCTAATAAGTCACCCAGCCGTGCTCACATTGGACAATAGTAACTTGTGAGATTAACAGAGGCTCAGTCCTTAAAACCCACCCCACTATTTATAAAGACATCGATTCTTTCCCCAAGTCGCAGATGAGAAGCAATATTGGGTTTTGTTATTTCAAAGAAAAGGTCTTAGGGATAATCTACTTGTTTATTTGATTTATTCTATTCAATGTAGAGGTTAAGAAATGAGGGCAAGCCAGGCACCTTTAATCCCAGCGTTCCGGAGGCAGAGGCAAACTCAGGCAGAGGTATCTGAGTTGGAGGCCAGCCTGGTTCACATAATGAGACCCTGTCTTAAACAAACAAACAAACAAACAAACAAAATTCAATAAGGGCAAAACAGCTGTATGCAGAGTATCAATACCAAATTTTTACTATATTTGAGAAAAGGATCTGCTTTGGAAGACAAGTGTATACTAATACCTTCCACCGTCTAAAATTACTGTACTAAATACAGGATGACTAAAGTCTGGCCTAGATTTCTATAACACTCAGAAAGCTCATAATTCAGATGTTCTACATAAGAAGGTAAAAGCTTCGGGGAACTGTGTGACTTAGTTAAGCAAGAGTAAAACAGAAAGAAAAGGAAGCGTCGGAGAAGCAATGCTGGGGAGGTAAGAATTGCAGGCAGGGAGCTAGGTCCAGGATCAAAGTGGAAGTAAATGCCGGCGGCATGGTGAGGGTCCACGGTGGAACAGATGGTTTCTGTGAAGCAGTGATCTTCAATTATATTTTGAGGAGTTCCCACAGAGGCTGGTCTGCAAGGGACACCCTGAGCACAGTGGTGTGGTGGGTCCATTGGAAAGTCCCCTGCTGGCACACAGAAGAACATGTTGGGAACGGCCAAAATGTCAGCTGGGTGGCATGAGTCCAGTGTATTACTGGCCATGAGATTTTTTTTTAAAAGTGTGTGTGTGTGTGTGACAATGAAAGTGTGACATCTGAGTCCAACTCATTGAAGCCCCTTTTCTCCTTCTAATCAGGTAGGTTCTGGGAACAGGATTGAGATCATCAGACTTGGGAACAAGTTAAGCTGCCTTTCTGCCCCCGACTATGACATTAGAAAATAAAGCGGCAAATAGGCAGATCAACTGTCACCAAGGAAAAGCCATCAGGCCTGGGGACAGATTGAATGGTCTAAGGGTAGGATGTGACAGACCCGTTGCAGACAGGGACCAAGATGGCCTCAGTGAGTTCCACCCTGGGGAGACTGGATTATGTGTGGAAGACAGTGCCTTGATGCTGGTGTGCAGAATCCCAAGTGAAATGCAGCGAGAGTGAAGTGTGCGTGTGTGACTATTTAAAATACAACCGTGGTGGGTAATTCGCGGGATTGTTCCTCATGTGCATGGTGAAGTTCGGCAAATGGCTGCCCTGGGAACTGAGCTCCCAAGGGTACTTGCTTTACCCTTGGATAGTTGTATTCAACATTCCAGGAGGTTTGATTGTATTCTAAAAGCCCTAGACTCTGTGACACGGCACAAAAAAAAAAAAAAAAAAAAAAAAAATCCCAGAACCAGAGACTAGGAGTCAGTTCTTCTGGTAGGTAGCAATCACAGGTGCTGTTGCTAGGTAAGGCAGAGATGGTCGCTGGTTTACCTTCCAGTTGCTGAAGATAAAATCCCCACAGCAGGAGAGAACTTGCCATTTTTTTCTCTGACTTGGGGACGTGAAGCCACAAACCAAGGCCTAAGGAAACCACCAGGAAAGCACCGGCTCAAAATAAACACATATAAGAGCTGTGAGCAAACTAAAAATAGAAATGTAAATATTTACTCAGAGAAAGACAGACTCATCAACCAGGACTATAGCTCAGTGGTGAAGAACCTGCAAAAGGCCCCAGGTTCAATCCACAGTACCACAAGAGGAAAAAGAAAGGCAGGCCAGAGAGGTGCCTCAGCCTTCACAAGCCTCTCTGCTCTTGCAGAGGACCCAAATTTGTTCCCCAGTGCCACGTCAGGTGACTCATAACCTCTTGTTACTCCAGCTCCAGAGATCTCGGTGCCTTTTTCCCACTTGAGTGAAACACTTTCACTTATGGCCACCTACACACATATGCACACATTTTTAAAAAGAAAAAAAATCTTTTAAAAGAAAGAAAAGAAAAGTAGTCCTGTCTCAGCCAGGCATAAGAGCACATGTGTATCTAACACAGGCACTTGGGAGTTAGAGGCAGAGGCCTAAGATTGCAAGTTCAACGCCAGCCTGGGCTACATAGCAAGACCTCCTCCATCTTAAGATACAAAACAAAATTTTACAGTGGCAAAATCTAACATAACAGAGAACTGATTGAGGTTAACGCAGATACTGATTTCTGTTGATAATATGTGCCCTAGACATAAAATGATCACAGTGTTGCCTGGCCTCTGTGGTTTCTAACACAAAACCTCTGGCTAATAGTGAGAAAAACATCAAATGTGGATGGAGAAACATCCTACCATACACCTGACCAGTACTCGGAAACTGTCATAAAGACCATCAAGGAAAACACGAAATGTCCAGGCTAGAGAGAGCCAGGAAGTCACGTGAGCACAGCGTACTTTGCTTGCCAGGAGCCTGGAGCCTATGAAAAGGAAGGAAGGCCAGTCTCCTAATGTAAGGTAATAATGGGTGGGGGAGGGGCTGTGTGTGCAATATATAGAAATTATTTGTATACGTCCTAACTTTTCTGTAAAACTTAACTCTAAAATAAAAGGACTGTTTAAAATAATACAAATAACACTAGGTAGTGGTGGGAGTGTAGACCCTTAAGTTTGAGACCAGCCCGGTCCATGGAGTGAGTTCCAGGACAGCCAGGTTTACTCAGCAAAAAACCCTGTCTCGGGGGGAAAAATATACTAGTAAAGGCTTGAAAAAAATTAGTACTAACTCGGGATATTGTTATTATTAATTACTATTACTAATAATTAATAATAATTGTCATTATTGTTGTTATCTTCTTTTTATCTGGCATAATTTTTAATCAGATATGATTTGATTATGTAAGAACAGAGAATGAAGTCATCTCTCTGGAGGTATTTTGAAGTAGGTGAAGGTTACTTCAGGAAGTGTAATATCAGAGAACCGTTTGCCACGGTGTTGTATGCAGTACCAAACACTCAGAGAGTGACCAAGGTTGATAAATATTGTGAGAATCTTCGATATTGAGAATAATGGTGCTGAGTGACCTTCAAGGACAAGCCTCCCATCGGGAACACAGATATTAACTGGAAGAATTCTTCTCTCGTGATGTATCTGTCTATTCTTCCCCTGTGGGCTTACTGATCTTAATAAACGCATTTCCAGTCTTGTTGGTAATTTAATTTTATAAATGCTTAAGAGTTGTATTTGTTAGGTATTTGAGACTTTTACACATTTGTTCAGTGTATTTTGATCCTGTCACACACACACACACACACATACACACACACACACCACCACCACCACTCCATTTCTCCCTCTTGAGTCCTCTGAGATCCAGCCCCCAGCCCCATCCCTAGTTATTTAACATGTACTGATACTAATACTGAGTACTGCCTCAGAGTTCTGTCATCTGTACAAGCCAGTACTGCTTGAGCTGGTACAACATTGAATGTGTGTGCATTGAGTTTGCTATCTACCGATGAAACGTGAACTTTATATGATACTAAAAGTGGGATTCTCTCCAGCTGCCAGGGATGGGATGATTTTTACCTTTGATTTCCTACTTTTTCTGTTTTTAGTGTTTTCTTCAGGAAAAAAAAAATATACATTTGCGGAGGTGATAAGAAAAAGATTCTTTAAAAGCCTCTGCCACCCCCCACCCCCGCCCAAAGCAAAGCTTTTATCATGAAGCTGCTATCTAAATCTGTTTAAAGGGCCTTTTTGCTTTAAAATGTGTTTTTTACTTTGCTTCTCGGGGTACACTTGGTTTCTGGGTGACTTTGCAGACATCTGAATGTTACCATCCTTACACGTCTCCCGAGTTAAATCTTGCACGTTAGAAGCATGGCTGTATCGAACTAATCGGACTTTCTTTCTTTCAGGCTGGTGTTCGGGATGCTGTATCCTGCGTACTATTCCTACAAAGCCGTGAAGACGAAAAATGTCAAGGAATACGTAAGTAAAGTTTCCATGATTCTCATTCCGTGAACAGAAACCTTGGAAAGCGCCGCTGTGTTAGAGAATTAGATTGATGGGTTTGGTCTAAAGGTGATCTGAGTGTTGTTATGGAAATAATCATATCTTTAATGACCATAAAGCTTCAAGTGGCCTCCATTGACCATTGGCACCGGGAGTTCAGAGTTCCCAGGAGCAGTGACAGAGGGCTCCTAATGGCCTGAGTCACAGTTGGACTAAGGTTTGTGTGCCTGCTTAAGGTGCTTTTGAGAAGAGGTTGCAGTTTTCCAGCCTTGTCGTTTTACACATGCGCTGAGGGTGTGTCTCATTACACAAAGCCTCCTCTTCTGTGACTCTTTAATCTCACACTTTTGATTAAACACACCCCCACCCCATCCCTGTTGACTATTGCAGGCTTGAAGCAAACATTTTTCATAATGAGTTTTTAAATTTTATTTTTACTGTGTATGTGTATGAGTGTGTGTGTGTGTGTGTGTGTATGTGTGTATATACACCTTGCTTCACATGCATAAGGAGGCTGGAGGTAGATATCTTCTCACTGGGAACCTGTAGGTAACTGGTACAGTTATGCTTGAGAGCCAAAGAGCATAGGAGTTTTTTTCCAGTCTCCCCAGTTCAGGGGTTACAAGCGTGTGTTCCACCGCACCCATTTTTTGTTGTTTGGGGACCCTGACCTGAGACTCTCACACTAGCCAGCTGGCGCCTCATCCACCGAGTATAACAGGGTATTAGCATACACTTCCTTGCCGGTGAGTCCTGGCACAGGTTTCTGTTTTGATGGAGTGCATTTCTAGACAATAACAAATACGTACCTTGGGCAGTTAATCAAAAGAAATAAGCAGCCAGTACTGAGATAACTCACATCAATAACTGTGGCACTTTTTTTTTTTTTAAATTTGTTTGAGGGAGCCAGAATATCCATTTCAAAAAAAAAAACGAGCAATCCGATTGCACTTAGAACTTTCACAGTGCCCAGCAGACAACAGACACCATCTCCTTTCCAGCTCTCCTCAATCTAAAATGAAAGGGCTGCCCATTAGGCGTCCACCCCTCCCCCCACCCCACTTCTCCCTGCAGACATTCCCTTAAATGGAATCTTAGAGTAAATGACCTGTTGGGATTGGCTTCTCTCCGCTGCTGAGCTGCGTTCTAGGTCCTTCCATGTTTTTACATGTTTCAGTGTTCCGTGTGTCCGTGTGTTCAGTGTGTCCTGGTGGCTGGAACAGTGCTCCCATTGTATTGGTAAAACCAAACAATGGCTTGTTTATCTGCTCATCCATCCGCTGACAGACATCTGAATTGTTCTGCTTCTGTCTTTTGGCTCGTACGAATAACGCTGGCACGGACATGCCCGTGTGAGCATCTGTCTAAGTGCGGGTTGTGAGCTCTCGGAGGTGTATAACTGTGGTTCTTTGTAAGGACCTTGGATGACAGCCTTGTCCTCCAGCCCTGCATGGGATCATAAAGATCAGAAATCCAGTCTTGATGCTTGAGTGTCTCTGCAGGTAGAGCCAGTGGCTGAGACTTTTGTAATGAACCTGTTCAACTCTTACAGTCACGTTTCTCTTCCCTATCCGGCCAGTTTGTAATGAAGTTGCCTGTATGCATAGACCCACACACCGCAGCTATAACAGTGGAATAGGTTTATGAGAGGTGAAGAAGTCAGTTGGATGAGCTCTGAGTTTTTAATTCCTTTTATGATACAGATCTCTTGGATCCGGGACTGGGAAAATCGTCTTTAGACATGGAAGCGTATTATTAAGTCATACTAATTTAAATTCATTTTATAAGTAGCTTGAAGGGGCATATTTCAATATGTGCCGTAATAAATATTTCAAGTGCCCTGTTATACTACTGGCTTATATTAGTTTTGAAAACAATACCTGCTTTCTGTTTCCAGCATTTTTCAAGCCTCTTGTGGTGAAGGACCTGTTTGGTTATGTTCGTTTTGTGTTTTGTGGTCCTGGGGATGAAACAGTTTGGTTTGGTTTCCCCTGGACATCATTTGCCATTACCTTTGTAAAAATATAGTGGAAATGAGCCGCTAATAAAACATAGATGCAAAACCCCCAGAGACATAGGAGTGTACCACCAATTATTATCCGTTTCTATAGACGTGAAACATCGCTCTGCTGTGTAATTCTGTACTTGGAATCCTCTTTCCAATGGTAAAAATGTATGAATAACCCCTCATCTCTAAAATGTCATGAGAACATGAGCCATGGAGTATACTACTGGGCAGAGCGTAGTAAATGTGAAAGCTGCTTTATGGTGTGTATTCAGTGGGATCTTACCCTGGGAGTCTAGCTAACTGTACAGTTGAAGAAATGCCCAGTACGTCTTTCAGCTGTGGGTTCATCTCACCTTAAAAGCATTCTAGGGTCCGTTGTAGAAGCCCAAGCCTGCAGTCCTAGCACTCTGGAGGATGAAGCAGGAGAATCGTTGAAGACTTGAGGCTAGCCTGGATTACAGAATGAAGAAACTCTATCTGTCTCAAATCGAAAATAGATAGGTAGACAGCCAGATCGATACATAGATGCCCTGTCCCAGGTAGATTGACAAGGAGACAGGCAGGCAGCTAAGTAGGTGGGTAGATGGACACAGATGCACTATCCCAGATGGATGGGTGAGTGGGTGGATGGATAGATAGATAGATAGATAGATAGATAGATAGGTATGATAGATACATGCATATATGATAGATAGATAGATAGATAGATAGATAGATAGATAGATAGATAGATAGATAAAGTAGTTAAGTAGATAGGTAGATGGGTAGGTAGATAGACCAATAAGCAAGCTAAATGAACACCAATAAGAATATAAAAGTATTAGGGAAACACAAATAAATTACCTATATGCATAAATGAATGCTAAAAATGGTTATTTAGAGGTTGATCTAATTATAAAACAATGATTACTTTCACCATGCATCAGTTTTTCTGTGTTACATTTTTCTTTTCTTTTCCTTTAGAAACATGGTTTCAAGTAACCTAACCTGGCCTCTGACTCACTAAATTAGCTGAGGCTGGCCTTAAACACCTGATCCCCCTGCCTCTCTATTCCAAGTGCTGACATCAAAGGCATGTGCCCCCGCACCCAGCTCCACTTGAAAAATGCAACGTTATCTGCTTTATTCCCTTAATAACACACTCAGATGTTTATTACTGGGTTATTTGAAAATGTAAGACAATTAAAGATATCGTGCTTCTGAAATTTTAATTCTCCCTCGTATGCTAAAAATAACCTGTGTAAGAGAATCTGTTAAATTCAAAACTCTTGTTTTGAAAATTACAGTGAGTGATAAAAGTGAACGGGTACTCACCTGAGAGGCCAAACTTACTCCATCTTGGAACTGGCCTCCGTCTTAAAGAAAAAAAAAAAGCCTGAGAATTTGACCTGCAGCAGAACCCAAGCTATACCCATGTACCAGGAAGGACTGCATGGCTTGTCCCTGGCCAGAGTTACTCCCTAGCTACTTCCTAGCAACAGTTAATCAAAGATTAGTCTGATTGTTTCAGATGTACTTTCAGACTGTTTGTGATTGTCTTACCTCAGAATACCCACCTATTGATTTATGCTAGACATTCAGTTGGATACTTGCCAGGATAGATTCTCCCTCACATACTTCCATTTCCTATAAAAACTTGTCCTGCTGAGGGTTCAAGGCTGCTCCACCTTCCCTTCCTGTCCTTCTGTGTCAGGGTTGCGTTGGAGGAGAGCCCAAGCTTGTAATAAAGAGACCCTGATGCTGATAATTCGGAAATGGCTGCTTGATGGTCTTTTGGGGTTCACGAACGCTTCCTGGCACAACAGAACCAAGACAGAATATAATACATCACTGAAGACCTCAGTCACCCTCCCCTCAGTCACCCTCCTGTCTAACAGTAAGACTCTCAGAAACCAAGGTTGAGATGCTGTGTGTACGTTCCCTGGTACAAGGCATGTGTATTTAATTATTTCCCACGAATCTCAGAGCACCTTTGCATATGATCATGTCCAGTTGCTGCTCGCCTCAGCCACCACACTATTCTTGACGGAAAGCTACAAAATATTTAATCCCAGACATCCCTAGAATTCAGAAATGTAGAATGGGTCCACTTGGCTGTGTTCCCTCTGGAGGCTCTAGTCCCCGTGGACGATCTGTCGCTCAGAGCTGGAAGCTGCCCACATTCCTTGGCTTCAGGCTCAGTCCCTGTGTCTTTACAGCCAAGAGCTCAGGGCTGAGATCTTTGGATGCCGCCAGCACTGGGCTTTTAGCCTTCTGCCTCCTTCTTTCTCTTATACGGTCCTTTACGAACAACTGGGCCCACTCGCCCAAGGTTGTCTGATCCTTGGCCTTAATTCCATCTGCTGCCTTATTTTCTATTTATCATATAGCCTAACATACTTAATTTTGTAGGAAGTAAAACAGGGATCTATTCCCAGGAAAGGAGACAGCATTCTGCCAACTCCAATAATATCCATACTCATGCTTGCTGGCCATTCACCCGTGAAGACATTGTAAGAAAGCATGGGTCCACACCGGAGCTCTTGGGTTTCTAACATTCTGGCCATTCTAGTCTACAATGCTGCCTTTGTTGTTGTTGTTGTTGTTGTTGTTGTTGAGCTCTGTGTAACTCTGGCTGCCCTGGAACTTTCTATGTGCACCCATCTGGTCTTGAACTCATAGAGATCCACCTGCCTCTGCCTCCCAGGTGCTGGGATTAAAGGAGTACACACCACACCCAACCTCAACAGTGCTCCTGTTAGAAGCACAGGTGATGGAACTGGAGAGAAGGCACATGCTCTCACAGAGGACCTAGGTTCTGTTCCCGACAGCTCATGTCCCTGATTCCACTCCAAGCAATCCAGTAACTTCTGCTGAACTCCAGGAGCACCATCAGACAAAACATTTATACACATAAAATAATATATATAAATAAATACTTAAATTTGTTAACATAGGGGACATTCTAGCTTCACATAACCATTGAGGT